AAAGAACAGTCCATACGAATTACGAAGTAACTGCATTACGTGACATTCGTCTGTCACGATGACCTCAATTCCACGCAATTCCAAGAAATCTAACGATTAGGCCTGACTCAATTGTAACGGAGCTTTTTCGCAATAAATATTCTTTTGAAAAAGTAATCTCATAATTCTACCTTTTAGCCAAACTTTTTAGCCATGTCTCGTGAATCCAGCGATGATGAAGTAGAACAGCTACCAAGTGACGAGGCATTTGAAAAAGTAGAAGTGCGAGTACGAGAAATCCAAGACATCCTGAAGCGAGAAACACTTCGAGTTCGAAAGGAGAAGGAAGCTTTCGATTCAGTGGCCAAGAAGCTAAAGCAYGTCCACTTCTCTTCGACYGTWAAACTYAATGTTGGCGGTCAAATCTTYACTACAAGTCTGCCGACACTAACCAAAGATGCTGGTTCAATGCTACACGCCATGTTCTCTGGTCGTTTCGATACCAAACCAGCGGAAGACGGTAGTTACTTTATCGATCGAGATGGCACGTGCTTCCGTTACATTCTGAACTACTTGAGGACGGGGGAACTCTTSCTACCAGACGATAGACTGGTACAAAAAGAAGTTCTAGCTGAGGCGAAGTTCTACCAAATTCAAGGAATTGTTGATGAGCTTGATCCAAAGCATTACTTTGATTCAGTCATACTCTCTCCTGATCAGGCGAAATGGCTGGAAGCTGTTCACGGTAAAGATAAGAAGTTCAGTAAATGCAGTATTTTGTACCGTGCCGCCAGGGATGGATGGAGCTCCTCTAATTTCCATTCCAAGTGCGATTCTTTCAATGGACCTACCATGGTAGTGATCAAGAGCACAGGGGGGTACATCTTTGGAGGATACACCGAGCAGAGTTGGTCAGGTAATCAATGATAACGACGACATAGTTCACGGTTCTCTTTTATGCATTATCTATCATTATGTAAACGAAATATGATTATTTCGTTTACATATTTTGAAACGAAATGCATTCTTGTAACAAATGATTGGTCAAATAATCATATAATCGAATGAATAATGCATTCTTGGGGGGTAAGCTTGAACTGGTTTGAATRTAAAAGCTTCAAATTTAAGACCAATACTTATCTACATAGTTCTAGGAACAAGTCCCCTTCTTTGTTATCTGAGACAACCTACTTTTTGTGGGGGGCTTTATGAAATATGGGATTCTTTTATCCCTCGGCAACCTACACAATTCCTCACAGCTCAGTAATAATAAATACATCAGGGCTTGCTGTGTCCAAAACAAATATTCCATGTTCACTATATTCCCTCGAAAGAAGCTTTACGTCTTGTATGTAATTTGTTTGATAAGGGTAGGTACGTTTTTTTAAAGAGAGGAGGGATCGGGGATTCGATGGTAAACTTTTCTTCAAAACTGATTGTTGTAACCCTCACTCAGTAAGAAACTCAGTAAGAAATTCATGACCCTAGCATTAAGTCAACAAGTAACTAGTTTTCGTCAAAATAAAAAGGTTTGACGCTCCACAAAAATTCAAATTTTTACTAATGACCCTAATCTCTAAAACCCCAGCCCTCACCCCCTCAACCCTCAACCCCCTAATAAAAAACGTACCTTTCATTTCCTTGCATGAATTACATATGAAACAAAATTTACCTACAGTTACTGCATTTTATCCTATGTTTTTCCAGGTGGYGGYACATACAAGTCTGATTMTRCAGCATTCYTATTCAGCCTTGTCAAYCCTGTGGGTACACCCCCTGTTCAAATGAAGGTGTTCAGGAACACACAAAACGCAATATATTGCAATAACGGCTATKGGCCTACATTTGGCGGGAACCACGATTTGKYAATCTGTAACAATCCTCAGTCAAGTAATTGTAGTGTCAATATCGGTCATACATACGAGCTACCTTCAGGCCGGTCAGCAACAAACTTCCTATCCGGTGGTCAGTACTTTAATGTCGCTGAGATGGAGGTGTATGGATTCGAGAATTATTGATATGCAGATTGATAGCCTAGTTAGGTCACATGACACTGAACCCAACCATTGTTCATTCAGATTTACCGCTCAATCTGTTGTGTTTCTAAATCTATATTCAAAATGTATGTTATAAAAATAAAGATTCGTTATACAACTTCCTCGTATTAAAATGGCAAGCATAGCAGTCTCGTTTATTATTATGGGATTCGCGAAAAGCATTCTGGAAATCAGTCTAGCTTCAGCCAAAAACTTTCGCTTTTGTTTGCACCAACTAGAAGCTCTAGTTTGCGATATTTTAAGGAACTTTTTAACATGTCTGATACGTCTAGTGACAAATCTGGTGACGACAAAACTGAAATGATCAGGAGTGAAGCGTTCAAAAAGGTGGACTATCATGTTAAACAGATTCAAGACATCCTGGATGTTGAAATTGGTCGCGTCATAAACAAGAAAGGAACGCATTCGAATCGGTGGCGAAAAAACTTGAACACGTTCACTTCTCTTCGACCATTAAACTGAATGTTGGTGGACARCTGTCCACTACAAGTCTTCAGACACTAACCAAAGATGCTGGATYAATGCTACACGCCATGTTCTCTGGTCGTTTCGATACCAAACCAGCAGAAGACGGTAATTACTTCATCGATCGAGATGGCACGTGCTTCCGTTATATTCTGAACTACTTGAGGACGGGGAAACTCTTGCTACCAGACGATAGACTTGTGCGTAAAGAAGTACTAGAGGAAGCGAGGTTTTACCAGATTGAAGGAATTGTTAATGAGCTTGACGTAAAACTTTATAACGACTCTTTAATTTTGAATTTTGATCAGGCGAAATGGCTTGAAACTGTTCACGGTAGAGATAAGAAGTTCAGTAAATGCAGTATTTTGTACCGTGCCACGAGGAATGGATAGAGGTCATACAATTTCCATTCCAAGTGTAATTCTTTCAATGGACCTACCATGGTAGTGATCAAGAGCACAGGGGGGTACATCTTTGGAGGATACACCGAGCAAAACTGGTCAGGTATACGTCAGAAAAACCGCAGTTCCAAAACATCAACCTAGAACTTTAAACTATAGTCGAACCCTTACCTTATGAACACGGACACCAAGCGGACGAAACGAGGTAGTGTCTAT